CCTTTATTAAGAGTACAAACCAGTAGAGCTTCTGTCTCGACAGAGACTTCCTTTTTTTTTTTATTTTTTTTTTTTATTTTAATTTGTTTTTGTTTTTGTTTTTTTTGGTTTTTTGGGGTTTTTTTGCAATTGATTGTTACTGTGTTTTTTTTCCAACTGTTACATCATTTACTTCCAAAATAATGAACAACAAGAAACATCTTGACGCAAACCATTTGTTCCTTTTATGATGCAACAAACTGAAATGCTTGATCCGTTATTGTCATCTCTCTCTCGAGATGACATATTAAGATTGAATGTCGGAAGTCGAGTCCTGATGTAAGCTGCCATTATTGGCTGGTGGTCTAGTGATCGAAACGTTCTATTCATAAGCTGGTGGTCTGAATTCGAAGATGACGCGATATCTATATATAGAATTGTTCTTCGATAAACAAAACTGCTTACAGACTTAAAGCTGAAAATGTATGGCTGTGCCCCCCCCCCCCTCCAAACTGAAATTGCTCCCTAAGGGCCTCTTTATATAAAGATATGCTTATTTTTTCCAAAATTCTCTCTCTATCTTTGATAAACAAATTTAAAAATACAAATAAAAAACAAATATTTTATTATTTCTTAATTGAATGACCGTCACGGTAGGTCAGTCGATAGAGCGCTCACTCCGAATTATGTAGATAACTAATGTCTTAATAAATCGATCTAGTGCAAGGGCATACCCTCAATAGATGATGACAAGTTTTTGATCATAAACTCTAGAAGTATTAAGCTATTTGACAAGTGCTGCGATCCTTTTGAAATTTCTATATTTAATGAAGCTGACCAGCAAAAAAATTCAGTATGCATTCATACAAATATTATTTTAACTATGAAATAGTAGAATCTATATATAGGATCGCAACACTTTTCACAAAGTACAATGGGTGTTGAAATTATTTATAAATTAAACTTCGAATTTTAACTTGGTTATGCCCTTGCACTATTGAGATTTAAAGGTGACCTCAATACTGCAAGTATATGTGCAAAAATCACGTGACTGCCACATCACGGGACAAGTCTATATAGAAATTTAATCTTCCTCAATATGTACTTAATAACCATAATTACACTTGTCCGATATTGGTAAAAAAAAACTTTGTATCATAAAAAATCGCCGATATTTCCATTGCGCACCTCAACTGTACTGCGTCCCTCTCCGAATCCCAGTCCCAGGAATTGAGGGAGAAAAGGGCTAGTTATCTTGGACGTCATATCGCTTACAAGTACCAAAGCAGTAGAGACTGAAAAAAAAATTCATGAAGTCAAGATTTAGTTATATACTCTCCATTATTTTTTGAAATATAATTACCAACCCATCCTCACAATGTCAAGGTTTTGTGATTTCGGAACTCCACACAAACCCTTAACATAAGTCGCTATTTAACAGTTGGGCTAGAAAGCTACTATTTCATTTGTTCCTGGTCTAGGGCTGGAACCAATCAGAAAACAGCTTTTATTGTAGGTAAGTTTTGTAAACAAATATGACTTGTCTTTCAAATGGAAAGTGTCGATATTCTAGGATTTGTGACTAGTAACATTAAATGAAACATCGGGGAGTTAATTTTTGGAAGATCGGTCTCCTAACAATCACAAAAGATATGCTTTTGAGTTGGGCCATTTGAAACGACAGATATGAAAAATACATTCTCATTGGTTAGTTTATAATTACCCATTACGTCACGTGTAACCACAAACCCAACTTATTTAATCTGGAAATTATTCAAACTACGAATTTCGGGAAGCGTTTGATTAACACGTCCTTGCACTTTCACAATTTTTAACTCTATCCTTAATACTTAAGAAAAGTAGCAATTTTGTTGTGCATTAATGAATAATATTACATCTATAATCCAGAAAATTCAGAGTAAGAATGTGCGAAAGCAAAACCCACTCACTTAAGTATTGTCAGCCCGTGCTCAGTGTTGTGTAGTTGTGTACAGAGTTTAACAAATTGACTACACCCCTGAAACGTAAACTGTTTTTGTAAACAGGGCACGAGCTCTGTTGTTGTTAATGTTTACGTTTCACCGGGTGTGTTCAATTGTTAAACTCTGCACACACCACTGAGCACGGACTGACAATACTGGTGAGAGGATTTTGCTTTCTACATTTCAACTCTGGAATTTCTGCATTATAGTTTTAATATTTTTCATTAAAAAACAACAAAATTGCCACTTTTCTAAAGTACTAGGTATAAAGTAAAAATTTGTGAAAGTGCAAGGATGTGTCTATCAAACGCGTCCAGAAATTCGAAGTTTCAATAACTTCCAGATAAAATAAGATTTTTATCAAATTTTTGTATGAAATGCTTTAGCAACATATAAGTCATGAAATTATACAGAAAATTTGAGTAAATATTAACTTCAAATCTGTGTCTAAACATCTTTAGTAAGTTGTAAACAAAATATATATACCATACGAGATATCATTATAATCTTGTACAAATTTTGATGAACTACAGCAATAACGCTTCACACTACAGGACATTCTTACAAAGTCTAAGTAATTCTTTGTAATTAAGAACTGGGATTGATTAAAATAAAATAGTATTAATAACTTAACATTCAACAAATTATTGAAATTAGGAAAAATAATTTCGTAATTCATCAATGATAACCAAAATCTAGCAATACCCAAAGTATTCAGAAATATACGAAAGTTGAAATTAAGAATTTTTTGTTGTTGTATAATAAGCATACAGCTCACTTAAATTATCCGAGTTAAAAAAAGAAACGAAACAAAACAAACAACTCATATTTTTACCAGTAGTTTCTGTTTCTAATACGCAAGTTTGTGTCGATTGGTATATACGTATTTTTTTTTAAACAAAAGAATCTGTTGGACTTAATCAGTGTTGAGCATGTTCTGTTGATTATGAAACTTTGTCAGTGATAATTTGTTCTTGTGTTTAATTAACTATGAAAGCTTAAGGCATGGTTTTCTTTTTTCTTTCTTTTTTTTTTTTACTATTTGTAGAAATGCGATAAAACGTTGGAATTTCGTCCAGGAACCCTTGTAAATGTTAAAGTCATGTTAATTTTAACTAATCTACAATACATCATATTTACAATTAATACGGACTTGGTATTTAAATGGTGTCCTTTTTGATTACAGGTTTTTGAAGAATAAAAGGGGTTAATAATCATTTATAAGGTGTTCGTTTTCAGGAAAAAAAATCAATAAAGGGCTTGTACCTAATTTTCAAAAATATTAAATTTGGAAAATTACGAACTGTTTGTGGGCTACATTGTATAAATTTCTGACGCAGACATTCGATAACGTAGTATCAAAAGAAGAATCATACTACAAAATACATGTACACACTTCAGTGGCGGATCCAAGATTCTTGAAAAAGGGGGGTGATTAGTTGAAGGTCGGAGTGGGGGCCCAGGGACCAAACCCCCAAAAATTGATTTATTAAATGACACAAAGGGGTTGGGGTCCCCTGTCCCCTCTAAATCCGCCAGTGCTCTTTATATATTTAAAGAAAACCAATCGTAAAAATTTAAACAGTCAAAATGTTTTTCGTGATAAAATGAAGCACATTTTCATAAAAGCTGACAAAGCTTCGTTGTATTTATACTATAGCAATAACAGTGATACACTTATAGATCTTAATTACAGTAATGTCTAGATAATCAGATTGCCATTTATGCAAGATACTTTCTGAAAAAATAGATATCAATGTATTACAATAAATATCACCTTCAATTAAAAGTTGTCAAATGTACATTAGAAAGTAAAGACAGTTTATTACCAACAATTAATTACGGATGAAAAAAAAATCACTGAAAACCGCTGAATAGGGTACATGTGACGACTCTGTCATATAAATTAAGTGCGCCTTGCTCTGTAAATATTGAAAGACTCTGTAACAGATTACGAGAACATCTTGGAAGGAGTAAAATACTCATATATGTGTATTACGCTATATATGGTCTTATTACAAAGAGAAATTGATAACTGGCTTTATATAACGATTTATTTGGTATTGGGTAAAATCTTTTCTACAGAAATGTTTAAAAAATGGTATGTCAGTACAATATAAACGAAAACGAAAGGACATTACTTTATAGATGTTTTCTCTATGTTACAGTGCTATTTTTATAAGTCTGGAGATTATTATTAATACATTGTTTGAAGAAATCAATGAACGTTGAACACTGACGCGCCTATGAGTGCAGTATTGTAAAGTCCTTTAAATGAACTTTAAATAGGTTAACGTTCGTTGACCTGGATTATTTGATACATGACTTGACCATAAATAGCGCGTTTCAAACCGAGATTTTTACTTACAAGAAAAACTGATTGCCAACAATCATGTACAGGTTTTTTTTAGCTGTTCTAATTCTAATGATTTATATATGAAATGTTTTAATTGCTAAAATTTATCAATGTGCATATAACAGAGAGTAATTTGAGGAGAATTCGATACTATTTTAACCTCTCATTCATATAATGGTTTTGTTTTCAATTTTGGTTTCATCGATATATCTAATATGACTTTTAAATTAGTCGTTAAACAATTTGTGGGTACATTATTCATATCTATTTTTTAAAATTAATTATGACATATCTATGGCAAATATTATAAAAGATTGTTGATGCAGAATTAAATTCTACATAACCTCTTTAACGTCGACAAAATTGCACGAATGCATATTAGTTACACATATATATGTTCGTACTTTTTTGTTATTTATTTGTCTATGTCAAAAAATTCCATATCCACTACTTTATAAAAAAAAAAAAAACCCAGACTAAATGAAACTGAGAAACGGAAGTATAGACCATGACTAGACATCGCGTTAGAATTTCCAAGAAGGCTACTTAATAAAGTCATGTAGGGAAATACCCGGTTAGTAGATATTTGGTATAAAGGAGAACTTTTCCTGTTTCGAGTTTCATATTCTTTTTGAACATAGACGGTAAGCCTGCTACTTTACTTGAAAACAGATACATAAATAATGGCACGATACGACTTGAATTCTCTGCAATCTGATCTGAGGAAGGAACTGGCAAACGGATTTAAGGAAGAATCCGGGGAGATGGTAAAGAACATTAAAGAGTTAATGACGCGGTACGAAAGTCACCCCACGGACTGGGACGGCAAGGAAAAATGGAGTGATAAAAAGCAAGTAGTAAATTTTTATTTCATTTTCAGATTTTTGCATGATGTTATTATTATTAAATAAAAAAAATAAATAAATAATGAAAATGAAGTGATAAAAATGATTCGGTGTTATAAGAGAGCCGAAAAACTCTCCATTTTAATAAAGTGTCGGTGATTAAATTGCTTTGGTTTTCTTTACTGTATAGATATACGAGGACCCTACTGGACAAAGGGAATGGGCATTACAATTTGATGATATTGTGTTGGAATACTGGTCAAGAAAGCCCTATACATAATCATCCTAACTCTCATTGCTTCATGAAGACTCTAAAAGGGGAAGTGTTCGAGCAGTTGTATAGAAATCCGGATATGACATCATGCGACAGCTGTTGTGGATGCAAAATGGAGAAGATAGAGGACAGGGTATATAAACTCAACGATGTGGCCCATATCACTGGTATGTATAAGAGCTGATATATAAAACTTGATAAAAACATCAGATATTTTTGACAAAATAGGCGAGGGATTATGTCAGATACATTAAAATCTATAACACTAGTATAAATAAAAGAAAAATTAATTTGATAAAATATTATACAGAATTAAGAGATTTCTTTACAGTCGTCTTAGTTGACATTATTTGTGTCATAGCTTCCTCCTTGACCTCCACGCGCACCCCCATTTTTAGCACTTTCTCCAGAATTCTGAAAAGTCCTTTGACGTCACCTAATCGTTCACTTTTTGTTGATTAGGACTATTTTATTAATAATTCTTTGGTGGACAAAATGTTTATCTTTTTATGTAGACGCAGACGGACTTCACAGAGTTGGGAACAAAAGTCACGTGGAGGGCGCTGTCACTTTACACCTTTATTCCCCGCCCTTTTCCTCGTGTAAAAAATATGATGACGAAACGGGTAAATCAACAGAGGTTCCCATGGGTTACGACCAGGACTTTAGTGAGCAGTGCTGTTCACATTCATGTTGTGCAAAATAATTGTTATCTGCGGAGACCAGAGGCTTAGGTAGAAGATTACCGGTGTTTTATTATTAGATGCTATTACATTGATGCGAATCTCTAATATTGTGATACTTTGTTAATATTACTTTAAACATTAACTGTTCTTGTTGTTTGCATGCTACTGAAGAGATTTTTAAAATGTTATATACATATCTATCTTACATCATATAAGATATGAATCTCTGGAATACTATTTATCAGCTAAAATATATTCATTTTGAAATGTCGTTTTTAAGTATAGCATGAAATAAAGATGAAAGATTTATTGTTTTTCAAATTTTAATTAACATTTTTATGCCCCCATAATCGAAGATTCGGGGGCATTTAGTTTTTGCCTGTCCGTCCATCTGTCTGTCTGCTGTCTATCTGTCTGTCTGTTTGTCCGTAAAAACTTTAACCTTGCCCATAACTTTTGATTGGCTGGAGGTATCACTTTCATATTTCACATGTGTATTCTTTGTGGCAAGACATTTCTTTGGGTACCATAAAATTTGACCTTTTGACCTTGACCTTGGAGATTGACCCACTTTTGCAATATTTTTTGACTTTAACCGTGGTCATAACTTTTGAATGGTTGGTGCTAAGGCTTTCAAACTTCACAGGTGTATATCTTGTGACAAGATCTTCCTTCAGATACCAGCAACTTTGACTCTTTGACCTTGGAGTTTGACCTACTTTTGGAAAAACGTTAACCTTGGCCACAACTTTTAAACCTTTGATGCCAGGGCTTTCATATTTCACATGTGTATACCTTGTGAGATACCAAAAACTTTGACACTTTGACCTTGGAGTTTGACCCTGTTTTGAAAAACTTTAACCTTGGCCATAACTTGAGAATGGTTAGTACTAGGGCTTTCATCCTTCACATATGTAATCCTTGTGACAAGGTCTTCCTTCGGATACCAACAACTTGGACTCTTTGACCTTGGAGTTTGACCTACTTTTGCAAAACTTTAACCTTGGCATTAACTTTTGAACTGTTGGTGCTAGGACTTGCATGCTTCACATATGTAATTGTGGTCACAAGACCTTCCTTTGGATATCAACAACTTTGACCTTGACGTTTGACCTACTTTTGCAAAACATTAACCTTGGCCATAACTTTTGAACGGTTGGTGCCAGGGCTTTCATACTTAACATATTTAATCGTTGTGACAAGACCTTCCTTTGGATACAAACAACTTTGACTTCTTTCACCTTGGAGTTTGATCCACTTTTGAAAGACTTTAACTTTGGTCATAACTTTTGAACGGTTAGTGCCAGGGCTTTCATATTTCACCTGTGTATTTCTTGTTAGGAGGCTTTTCTTTGGGTTCTTTGGCCTTTCTTTCTTGTGAGAAGGTCTTTCCTAAGGCACCATTAATTTTGACCAATTGAACTTGATGTTTAACTTACTTTTGAAAAACTTCAACCTTTTCCATATCTTTTCAATGGTTGCTGCTAGGGTTTTTGTGTATTCCTCGAGACAAGACCTTACTGTTGGTACCAACATATTTGATTTGTATTTGATAAAGTTTAGCATTTGATATGAGTTGCCATGCGGGGGCATCAGTGTTTCACATCTTGTTTTAAACATCACATAATCATTTGTTCTGTATGAAAAAGTTTCTGACGCCGAATTAATGATTGCTTTTAATTTGGTTTTGCCCTGCAGTGTAAACCTATGGGGTTTATGACGGACAATATATATAAACATGTTAAAGTTATATTTTCATATCGTAATAATTTTAGTTATTAATAGTGTACTTATTAGTGACAATAAAATAAAATAAGTGAATTAAACCAGGTTTGACATTAATGGTGTACCAATTTCAGTGATTTTTTTTTCAAATTTGAAAAAGAGACTAATTTCATTAACTATAATTACATGTATCTTGTTAGAACACATTGACTTTTGGTGTTGGTACAATGAACTACAATTTTGTAAATACTTTTTTTAATGGAATTGATCAGAATAGACTAACCTAACACATCGATACTAAGTTATAAAACTTGAACGGAAATGCAGAAGTACTACTAAGATTCTTGTCTGTGAGCCAAAAAAGATGTGTTTATGAAACACTGATGCCCCCGTAGGTCAAGGTCAATGGCCGCAATGGTTGGTATCCAAATGGAGTTCTTGTCAAAAGGAATACACATGTGAAGAATGAAAGTCCTAGCACCAACTGTTCAAAATTTATGGCCAAGTTAGTTCTTTCAAAGTAGGTCAAACTGCAAGGTCAAGGGTCAAAGTTGTTGGTATCCATAAAAAGAATACACCTGTGAAGTACGAAAGCCCTAGCGTCGCCCACGTGGCTAGAGCGTCTGCTCTAGAGTCGCGAGGTAAGGAGTTGATCCTTACGTCGCGGGTTCGAATCCCACTGTGGGACGTGGAGACCGGTCCTTCGGATGAGACCGTATAAACCGAGGTCCCGTGTCGCAGTAGGTGTTGGCACGAAAAAGACCGCTCAATGGCCGTAAGTGCCGAGTATAGGACAAAATTTGAAGCTCTCCACCGGCAAGTGGTGGCGTCTTCATATGAGTGTTGTGTCATATATCTAAAACGAGGTAAGTTGATGAAACAAGAATATCAGCAGTCTCGTTTTAAGTCATCATTTCGTAAGTTCTATGGTCGATACAATGACCTTGTCAGGAAATACAATTTATCGATGAGTCAAATGCTGCCTGAAGTTTTTCATACTAATTGTTATGCCATTATTTACACACTGAATTATCGACAGATTTTTTCCGTTATTTCCCGATCATCCCAAGGAGCACACGGCGGGTGTGACCGTTCGGCAGAGGATGCTCACTCCTCCATTGCACCTGATCCCACCTCTGACGTATTGGAGGTCGGTGTTTGCGCTGCTCCTATTCTCTATTGTTTGATGGACTTTTGAGATTGAATACTGTTCATTATCTCCATATATTTCATTTCTAAATATGATTTCTCTCAAAATTAGTTTCGACTTTCAAAGCACTAGCAGTGAATCAGCTGAAGTCCATCTGATTACAAGAAAAGATGGGGGGAATATGGATGTTGCCAACAGTGCAATACCATATATGTCACCTGCAATAATCAATCAACCAAATCTGTCACCTGCAAAATCAACGGTAAAATTATGTACTGCTGCTTTAAGCCATAAAATTCTTAGTCATAATTTTCAAATCATAATTGAGTATACTTAAGGTAAAGGTAGGGTTTATTCTCACAGAATTCTCTGCCCCTGGGGGGGATATAAGCAGAGCTGCCTTATATATGGCGCTATTGCTTTTACATCCACATAGCCAACTTGTTTTATGTGCCAGGTACCCATTTTAACCCCTTGAAGGATGAACCAGTAAAGTAACTTGCCCAAGGCTACAATATTGCAGATTCTGCGACCGACCAGATTCAAACCCTACGTAAAGTAACTTGCCCAAGGCTACAATATTGTAGAGTTTCAGCGACCGACCAGACTCAAACCCTGCGTTACCAGGTCCTAATCTGTTCACATTTACCTTCAGTTACTTAATCACCCCATTATTAAATCTTGATTATGACTGCATGAAGTTAAAAGTTTCTTTGTGAAAAAGGCAAAGTTTAAAATCATTTGGCAGAAACTGTCAAATCTATTAAACTTGGACATAAAAATAAGAACAAAAATGCAAGATACTTTTTTCTTACATGATTCATTTGTACAGGAAAAGAATTCCTTAAATAAGTCCAAGGCAAGGAAACAAAGATCCGTCAGAGAATAGAGAAAACAGAGATCTCAACTTAACAGTGATGCTAGCACAGTCTGTAGTATCTGTAGTGTCACGAGGCAACTCCACTAATGCTGAAAAAACGAAAGGTTTATTGAATAAACTACATTTATTAAATTTTCAACAGTGAAATACTGTAATTTATTTGCTGAATAAAAGTGAGATTCTGACACAGTGTGAAAGGATATCAAAATGGTGCTCTCACAGTGTGAGAATATTAGAAGTGCGGCAAAACTTATGAATTTCCTTCCCTTCTCGAAGAGTGTTTTAAAAAAAAATCCCCGGCCTGTTATAAGATACAGTTAATGAGCCATCCTGACAGAGACTAATAGTTATACTACCAAAGTCGTTAAAAATCCATGTTTACAACGTTTTTTTAAATCTCGCAATCACATAGTTATGACGTCTCAACCGCTCAACTGTCACAGCCTATGACACTGTGTTACGAAAAGAAACTGTAAGAAAACGTAATAAACAGAAAATTCAATGTTTTGTAGATGAATATGGAATTTATTAACATGAATAAATTCCATATTCATCTACAAAACATTAAATATCCTCTATGTTTAATATTTAAAGTATTCTACTTAAACAAAATGCTACATCCAGTAATTAACCTAAAGGTGTGATGAAGCACATCAAAGAATTGCGGACATCATTGTCGCAGAAGTGATCAGAATTTCATTAAAGTCGATTTTGCACAATCAAGGGGATGGAGTTTGGGAGATGATCTGACATTCCTGATCACCACATACTGGTACTCTCAATCCATATCACCACTCCCTTAAACTGATAAAATAATACACAGTACATCATGATTTCTCTTGCATATCTATAAAATAAAATATCTTTGAATAAATGTTTTTCAATAAACAAATGCTATAAAATTGATCCAAGGAAATCAAGCAAGATATGTAATGACGATCCGAGCAGAAATGAAGTCTGCAATTTATTGATTTATTTATCAAACAATGTAAGCTGAATAACAATATAGGTCTCCATCAGGAATATTCACTTGTCCGATTGGACAAATACATTGACAGTTTCCCTTGCCCGAACTAAGCTTTGGGTAATTGGACAACCGTTAATGTTGATCCATCAGTAAATTAGTAAAACATTCTTTTAAAAATTCTGTCTTCCTTGGAAACTTGTTTACAGAGTTAAGTTTTTACATTCTTCGGACTGTGCACTTCCTCTCTTCTGTGAAAGGTAGAAAATGCTTGAAGTGAAAATAAATTTACAATTATTTCATTGGTTGAAATGCAGTTCAAGGCAAGGTAAATAATTTTCTGGTGATCGAATTTTCGTATGACTTAACAAT